CTTATTATTATTATCATTATCATTATCAACTCGTCTCGATTATATATATAGATATGACGACCCATCGGGTCGGCTCCCGATGCGGGCATTTTCCGACTGGCTTTCAATTTAGCAGGAACTTCGACATCCTCCGAATGGCAGGAAACGGGAGAGATGTTGAACTAAATAAGATTCTGTCTTTCCCGTTTATAAAATCGATGATCCGATTTTCTACTAAATTTCGTGTCAAAATTGATAATTCTTTTTAACTTTTAAAATGTTCCCAAGCGTCGGAATCACGTATCTACGTGCGCGCGTGTTGCTTCGCCTTATTTCATAGATCCAGTTATTAACCTAATTTACAATAAAATACAATAAGATTATAAGAAAAGAAAACCAATTTTTTGGAACTTCTAAACCGGCGGGTCCCTTTCATTTGCCAAAGAAATTAACCGGTAAATCCGCTAGCCATTGCGCTTTCGCCCGAATTGACAAATTATTTCGTGTTTCCGTGAAATTCTTAAAACAAAAAAGTTATTACGAATCTTAATAAACGTTTCTTTTGTTGTAAATAAACCAAATCGTACATAAAGAAAAGTAATTAAATTTTATTGATGTATTCGATATTCAAAGAGAAATTTTACGGCAACGAAATGTTTCTTGTTCTCGAAATTGTTCATTCAAATTTTGCGTGGTCTTTATTAAATTATCTTTGTGGGGAAAGGTTCTTCGTCCATCATTCCAAACAGATAAACGATTTTGCGCCCCTCTTCTCCTTTCTCAGGCGCTTTAATAGTCCGTTACCGGAAACGTTCTTCTCGCATCGCGCGCATTTAACGATTTTCTTAAGAGTCGACGTTTTCTTCTTTCCCTTTTTGATGGTCTTTTGGCATTTCTCCGCGTGATTACGTAATCGCGATAAAAGGAACGTTTTTCCGCAGTAGTTACAGACGGCGTAATGGGTCGACGCGATACACTTGATTTTGCGTATTTTATCTCCTCGCTGTTTAATGAATAATATCGCAGATCTAGAAAGTGGACACCGACGATTCGTCGTTTCCGCGGCCCTATAGATGCAAGATTCGCAAAACGCGTGTCCGTAACTGGTAAATACCGGATCGATGTAAACGTCCAGACAGGTGGGACACGTCACTTCAAAAAGGTCTATAAGTTCTCGGATGGCCATTTTCGTCTCCCGGTCTCTAAGAATGAATCGAAGAAGATTGTAACCTAACTTAACCTATATTTTTATCTATTTCGATTTTAAAAATGTTCGAACCGTTTTAAATTCAAATTTGTTATTGCATATTGGTTCGATTATAGAACGATTGTAAACGTTCCAGAAAATTGATCAAATTGAAGATAGTTCGTTTGATTCTTGCAATTCTCTTCAGCGGTAGGTGTTATATGACAATTACTATGGTTATTGAAATATTGAATGTAAATGGGGTTTGCTTGCAAAACCTCCGCGAACGAAGTTGCGGGTAACAGCTAGTAATGTATATTTGTAAATTTAGGTAACAAGTTCGTAATTATTTATTTAAGGTTATAAGAATTTGATATGAACTATGAAGTAATCCTATAATTCCTTATTAGATATGTTCTGATTTCAGAGAGTTAAACAACCCTTTCGTCGATGCCTGTTTTTTAAATTTTAGTTTAATTAAACATAATTAAAGGTAAAAAAAATACTTAAAACTGAAAGAAAACGAAACAAGCGCATTAATTTTGAAGAGAAAACTTGGAAGTTTATTTTCGTTGGTCTCGCCCGCCTGCGAAATCTGACACCGCTGTCTCACATTGTTTACAACTGGATGACCTCGAGAACAGCCTTTCCCGAAACGTTTACATATATGCCCCAGGAAACGAAGGGACTAAAGTAGGGTGAATACGAGCCGGCCGTATATTTCTAAATATTTTGGAAAAATTACATTTTTTTATTGCGATTTCCGTCCCCCGACTTAATTAAACGTATATATGATAAAATCTATTAATTAAAAAAAAAACTATTGGATGTCGTTTTTGACATCAGAAAGTAGCTTTAAATAACTTTACCGAAGTAAAATCCGTGTAGAACTTTAGAACGATGAATGTAATTTGATATCAAATTACATCCACTTTATAGGCTATAAATCTGCTTTATAAAATACACCCACGTGGGTTTGGCCAAGCCCACCTCGAACTCAGCCGTGATGGATGGATCACATTCTACGTCACTTTCGGTCGACTAACCTAGCAAGTGTTAGGGTATTGTAACAGGAAAAGAAAAAAAACACATTTAATGTAAGAAAAGTAAAAAAAGGCCACCTATCCGGTTATAAGAGACAGGTATATCATAATTACAGTCCAATCGAATGTTATAATTATTTTCTATGAATCTAAGATTACATAATCGCTAGTGTTTTTAAGTATTATTAAAACGAGGCAACTTCGATTCTGTTACGTTGCTTTAAGGTAATTTGCGTAAATTAGGATTAAGATAAACGTTCGAACGTGCACTTTGGACTTTACAGCATGATTTGGTGTAGTTAAAGCTCCCGCACAGCGTAGACATTAGAGAGGTTGCGCCCGATGTTTTCAACGCAAAAACGTGTACGTCGGACGTTCAGCGACGCTTTCCTAATGGCCTAGAAGTTTGGCAATGGTGTTTGGAACGTCGAGCATGATTCCACTGACTATCCAAACACCATTGTCAAACTTCTAGGCTTATAGGAATGTGGCGCTGAACGTCCGACGTACACGTTTTTGCGTTGAAAACGTCGGCCGCAACCTCTCTATTATAAAGTTACTGCCACACAGCAGCGAGCGAGCGAATTTTATGACGTCAGATTACGACTGATGTTAGATTTCTCGTTTTCACGTACTAGTCTTAGCTTTCAACAGTGGAGAAAGAAAGCGGACCGACGGAGACGTTTATTCTTTCTATTTCGATTATTTTTCTACTTCCTGTCCCATACTTCGGGAGAAGACTCTACAAGGAATTATCTCCAAGGAAACTTTGGTCATTTTATTTTTTTTGATACACAAACAATGGAATGCGACGTGTATAGAAAGGACCCGCTTTGGACTTAGTGTAATTTTTCTAGGCCTAATATGTACAAAATTATAAAGTGAGAATAGCGCAAAGCGTGAAAAGTTTCGTGCGTGTTCGCCCGCTGCGTACACCGAATACATTAGTATGCTGTCGGCCAACCTATTTTCTTACGAAAAGTGGCCACTTAAATTATAACAAATATAACCATCGTCTCGGACAAGTCCAGTTTCCTCGCTTCTGAATTTTCGATAGAAAGTAATGTTAAACCTTAGTCTCTCACCGACCACTAACCGAGACCCGCACGTTCTTCCGGAATGTCGTAGGCCTAGAAATTAGCCAAAATGTGGCTAGTTTCGCGGCTTCGTTACGGAATTTGTAGAAATTTTTTTCTCGATTGTTAGAGATTTTTAGTTTTCGAACGAGGCAACGGCCGTGCTTAGTTCCTGCTAAGAACACCACAGTAGCCTATCTTTCAAACATTTAACGTTTTCGGAATATGCGATTTCGAGACGAGTAAGAAGACGAGAGAAAGTCAAATTCCTCGTTACTTCCGATAGCCTTAGCGACATTACGCTATCGAGTCTTTACATCGCTAGGCTAGTAGCGATGTAGCTATATTGGCAGCGTAAAATCCAGTATATAGGCTAATATAAGGCGACATTCAGTGTCGACGTCTGTGTTCTAGCGTCACGCATACCTTTTTTTTGGTTAACTTTACATTTTTCTTTTAGATTTTAGGCTTTCCACTCTAAGAGTACTAAGGAACCAGAGAATTTTTTAAAAGAGTGTATTGTTGGTTAGTAGAAGGGGTTCCGAGACGGGCTCATAAATGTCCACAGAAAGGCTCATATGGAAAAATCTAGTTCATTGTAAGGGCTCGTAAAATCACGTGTATTTTGTTATGTCTTAACTTTTATTTTCCATGTTTTTTTTGCAAATGCATTTTATTCTCACTGATAATTCACGTATAAATAACAAGGAAAGGTATTGGAATGTGGTCAAATTTGACCCTCAGAGTTATTTCCAAATTTCTGGGGCCCGTGAACCCAAAAAACATCAAAAAAGGAAGAATTTCATGTTTGAGTGTTACTACAAAATCCTGTTTCAACTTTAATTTTTAAACTAAAATATTTCAAATCGATTAATGTTTTGATGTAACGAGTGTAACATATTCTTCGAAAGTAGCCAATTGTTGGAATGCGTTGTTGGATGTTTCCATTGTTGGTGCCGTTTTGTCGAAAACAAATAAACTTCCGCTTTCTTCTTTTCTACCGTTTTCTTCAGATTTGTTGGAAAAATTTTAATAAGTAAGTAAAATATGATATTCAATTTATAAGAAATCAATCGAATCGATTTCAAAAAATTTAATACACCACAATTTGTGTTTACTTGTTCAGCTATAACTGTGAACTAAGTGCCTACACAAAAATAACAATTAAAAATTCATTGTTCAAAACTTTTAGCCGTCCTACATATAGGACATTAAGCATATATGGGCTAATTGGACAAAAGGTTAATGGGCAGTGTGGATTGCTTGGTAAAATCATTACTGCGTCCTTTTTCGCAAATAATACAGTCGTTACAAAATTCCTGTTCCGTTTTGCATTCGCATAACGTTTCGAAAACTACAGAATCTCAAAAATTTAAGATAAAAACAAAATGTGGACGTAACGATTAAAAATTGTACATTCCTTTAGGATTTACAAGCATAGATTATAACCAGATATAAAGAAATTAATTACGGCCAATCGATCGGGATATCTTAATATTCTTTACAAAATTTGTTTCGAACAAAAATGATAAATTTCGAAATGTTTTGTACACGCCTATAAACAATTAACAAATGTTCGGATTGGTTTATTTGTAAAAAGAATCTTTACAATGGGTATAACATTTTCATAAATAAACCCGACAGTTCGGTTCGAAGAGTTCGCTCCGTTGTATTCTTTTCATAAGAAACAATTTTCTAATCTTTATTCGAATTAAAGTAAGATTTTGATGGGTAAAAAATCCTTTACGAATAAAGACAATAATTAAAAAGAGCGACCGGGTTGGACGTCGGATCAAACGATTCCGGCATCTTTAGCCATGGAGTAGAAAACCGAAGATTTATTTTGAAGCAAATCGGAGGGAGAATCGAATTCGGCTACACATCCGTTTTCCAGTACCAAGATCCTAAAACAAAATATAATAAACTTATTAATAATAGAGAAATTAATGCACGAAAATATTATTTACATACTGTATATTGCTTTCTGATAATTCATTTATACACCATTTTAAGCATTAGATTCGAACACTCGACTATTTTGTTGTGTACATTTTCACTACTCTCGGCGTAAACCAAAATCTCTCTATGTTTATCATCACTTACTTCCGTAATATAACTTACTGTTATTTTATATGGAAAGTTAACCTTTTACAAATCAAGAAAGTACTGTATATATAAATTATTATGTTGCCGAGAGAAATCGACTTAACTGTAGAATTTTTGTGCAGTCTTTAGCACGTAATTTGCTACTTTCCAGATAGAGAAGGTCAAATATATATTTAGAATGCTCCTATTCTTCATTTTTAAATAATCCAGTCTTTTCAACGAAATTCTTCATTATAATTTTTATTGAAAGAGAAAAACGACTTGAAATAGATGTAATAACTGAATCACTAAATTTTTCAGAGCAGAAAAATTATATAAAACTTCCAAAATTAACAGAGAATTTATTTATAGTCTGCATATATTTACTAAAGATTGTAATGTGTGTCTGCTATTATCTACTAGGCGATTGCGGAATATAGCTTTGTAAAAATATGTCAACTTATCAAGCGCATCATTCCTATTTACATAAAGGTAAAACGAAAGTGATATCGTTTTCTTTCTAATAATGTCCAAAAGTTTTGTAATTTAAAATAAAGATTAAAGTACAATTGAAAAAATAACGTGTTTTTCCTTTTAATGAACTACCTTTCAACAGCAACCATTAGACCGTGAGTTGCTTGAATTGTAATTAATATTTTGTGCATTATTTTAAAAACAATAAATTATTCATTTTTACGTAAAGTTACCGTTTTGTTATTTGAATTTCGCGTATCTAAACAGTTACCTTGCCATTAAAAAATATATATATATAAATTAAGTTTCTTGAGTAATTTTCTTTTTACAATAGATGTGAGTGATTAACGATTTTCGCTATATATTATATTGTCTTTTAACGTCAACCGAATACAATTGAACCTCAATTATCCGAAATAATCGAGGCATATTCGGATATCTGATTATACTCGATATGGAAAGAATAAAAAACTTTAAATAAACTACAAATATTAATTGTAATTCTAGAACAATAATAGAAAAAGGCAGAAATATAATACATTCGAATGATAAGGATGTAAAAGTTATTAGTCATAATTTAGTTTCATACACCAGTACTTTTTCGCGTCAAAGATCTTCGTTTTATATACTGTTAGATAAGTGTTAATTAAACAGTTTCGACCTATGTCAACGGATTGTTATACAGTATACTACCATTACTTTCCACCTTTTAATATCCTTGTGGCAATTTTCAGCCTAAGGCTATGTAACCGAAACATCACAACTTTAGAGGCGAGACTTTACCTGTCGTAGTCGATGACGGTATTCAATCGATGGGCGATTGTTATTATGGTGCAGTGAGAAAATTCCTGTCGAATTGTGGCTTGTATGAGATCGTCGGTTTCTAAATCGACGGCGGCAGTCGCCTCGTCCAGTATGAGAATTTTTGTTTTCCTCAACAATGCTCGAGCCAGACACACTAATTGCCTTTGGCCAACACTGACATAAACAAATAAGTATTTCAGAAAACATTTTCGTAAAAATATACAATTTTATAATAATAACACATTATGAATATCGTAAATTTCGCTAAAACCTACCTCAGATTTTCTCCACCTTCCAGAATTTCGTGCTGTAACCCAGTTTTCAGCGAAGAAACGAAATTTTTTAAGTGAGAACGTTCCAGAGCTTCCCAAACTTCGTTGTCCGAATAGAAATCGAACGGATCCAAATTCATTCGTAAATTTCCAGAAAATAATACGGGATCCTAACAAATATTTATTCGAAAATGTTTGATAAATTCTGCATTATAAATTTTACCTTTACACATTATAACATGCTTATTTTCTAATTTAAATATAGTAGCCACGTTATACTGAGTGTAACAGTGAACAGAATGCGGAGAGAGAACTAAACTAAATCTAGTCATTAAAAACTAAACCTTTATATGTAAAATGTGTCTTAGTTATACAGAGGAATAGATTATCGCACTGTACACCAAGTATAAGTTTTGAAAAGTTTAGCATCAAGATTCTAACCTTAAAACCTCCAAAATAAAATCTCATAATTGAGAGAAGAAAAGATATTTTATCTTCCAATTATTGTCCAGATTTGGACCACTTAACGAAAGAATACCTGAGGTATAATGGTTAATCGAGACCGTAGATCGTGTAATCCCATTTTAGAAATGTCTAAATCGTCAATTAGAATTCGTCCGCCGGCCGATTCGATTATCCGGAACAGCGATAAAGTGAGAGATGATTTACCGGCTCCCGTTCTACCCACAATTCCTATCTGTAAAAAAATTCCTAGATATGAATACAAATCATTGGTCATTTTAAATTCAGACATTTTATGACGAAGCATTTACCTTTTCGTTCGGATGAAAACAGCAATCGATGGCCTTCAGAACCAGTTCGAGTTCCGGTCTGTATTGCAGAGAAAAATCGCAAAATTCCACTTTACCCTTCTGTGGCCAACTTGGATCCGGTTTACTTTCTGGTTTTTCCCAGGCTGCCTATTTACAGTATAATAATTACTTTTATTATATGAAAATTTCAGATGTATATAGTAGTTATTATCGTCGAAACAGTACCGTATTTTCGCGGAATACCGGCATGCCTGTCTCTCCGGGGGGACCATGAAATCAGATACAGTAGACCCCCTATAGCACGCGTTCATATAATACGGATTCGTATAACACAGTGAAAAAATTGCGATCGTATTCGTATAAACACAATAAAAGAGACTCGTATTATACGGTAAAACGTCATCGCTGACTCGTGTCGCGACACGATTGGTCGAATCTAGACCAATAGCATATATTGCACAAACCGTTGAGTTTAGACGAGCAGCGGACCTACTAAAAACATTTATTATTCAACGGCCATAAAAATTATATTTATATTAATGATGTCGCCAAAGTTTCGCGAATTTTTCGCAGAAAAATAACTTATCGGAAAACACGCGCACGCCGTTCGATACACCGCTCCACGAAGAAAACAAGATTAAGCAATGGCGTCGTCGAACGGTGCACACTCGGTAAGTAATCCTACAATTTTTGGTTTATGGCATAGTTTATATGGATTATTCTAAAAAATTATACGTGTTTTGGAAATGTTGAATCGAATTAGTCTAGAATCGATTAATTTTATGGGGGAAAACCTTTCAAACAGCCGTAATCCGTAAACTGCATACGTGCCGGTCTGTGGTTGGCTCATGCATTTAAGTGACTCGTAAAACACGGAATTCATTTAAAACGGAACATATCTACCGTGTTATTGGGAGGTCTACTGTATTTCTGTATGGTAAAAACCGGCAAGCCGGTTTAAGTGAGGTTATACATCCCTCTCTAGAGATGACATTTAAAAAAAAAAGAAAAGAAAGAAACGAGTTACGTCACGTAAAACCGAACGAGTTTCTATTCTAAAACTGTGAAACTGTCAACATTACATCAAAAACTACGATTATATGTTTACTTTCTTCATTCTGTCTTCCTTCTAACGACGTATAATACTCGTGTACTTCCGAAAGTGCTTTTTTTNTTAAATTATCTGATCTTATTTACAAATGTTTTCAAAATAAACAGTTTGACCGGGACCTTCTAAAAACTGGGCCCTAGATATTTGTCTCATTTGTCTATGTGATGATCCGGCCCTGAGTATGAAGGATGCTGCACTAACTCTGTGCCACGCTTACTACTGCTAGTCAGTTGTAAAATACTTACGTATTTTAAAACAGACTACTTTAAAACTGAAAGGTATAGTATTTTAAGCCAAGAAAGCCAAGAAGACCAAGTATTTTAAAACTGAAGGTTTTAAAATACTTGGCAAAATCTAGCCCATTTCTGCAACACATGTTTGCAGAGTCTGTTAACTAATATCACTGCTTTACATGGTGGCAGTCGTTACGTGACAGAATTGATGAACCTGTTTTAAAATTAGTTACACGGCTGCACACAGCAGTGGCTTCTTCAGCGGGAATTGAAAGAATTTTCTCTACCTATGGACTTGTTCATTCAAAACTTAGAAATTGATTTGGACAGGAAAAGGAGGCAAAGCTTGTTAAAGTTTTCAAGCACCTAAACAAACACTACTAAGCGTTGTAATTTCTGAAAATAAGGAATTCGTCAAGCTGCAGAAGCCACTGCTGTCAATCCTGTTTTGGTATTTGTACATGCAAATCTTAAAAACGCCATTGCATAAAGAAACATTTAAAAATGCTATATTTTATATTAAATAAAACATTCTGTACATTCTTGAGTCTTACACTGAACATTTTCTGTTTTTTTTTTTTTTTCTTTTTCTATTTTACTAGATCAAGCGTTTTATTTCCAAAAAAACCCATGTTTTAAATGTTTTAAAACATTTGTTTAAAGAAATGTTTTAAATCCGATGCCTATGTTTTAAAACGTGTTTTAATAAATGTTTTAAAACATTTTTTAAATCATGCCAACCCTGCTCTAGAGGGAGCATTTAAAAAAAAAGAAAGAAACGAGTTACGTCACGTAAAAACGAACGAGTTTTTATTATCAAAAACTACTAACTTATAATATGTTTACTTTCTTCATTCTGTCTTCCTTCTAACGACGTATAATACTCGTGTACTTCCGAAAGTGCTTTTTTATGTGTATTTTATTATTAATATTTGATTTAAAAACGCAAAAACAAACAAATTAAATTTAAGAAACTCGCGGCAAATTATTTCAGCTTACACCGATTAACGCAGTGTTTCTCAATTTCTAACGAATCGTCGCCCCATTCAACGTAGTATCGCCCCCTTCAATAAAACCGTTACGTAGTATCGCCCCCTTTACTATAAATTCCGATGCCGAGGGCCAAATTCGTACTGCATTGAATAGACTAGTGACTAGGCTAATGTTATTTGTTTAATTATTGTACGATATAACGAATAAAATATCTAATTATTCTTAATATAATGTTTTACTATATCGCCCTCAAAATATAAATTGTTACTAATCGCCCCCCTCAACATGAAAAAACGCCCACATGGGGGCGATATCGCCCCCGTTGAGAAACACTGGATTAACGTCATCTTTCTGTGAAATTTGAGTGGAAGATGTTATTTGTAGATTGTCAGTGTAACTCACACTGACTTAATACTGTACTACTACTATTACTACTACTTCTACAACTACTAATGTCAATAACTCGTTAATTGTTTTATTGTTTTGTAAACGAAAACTCTTTTCCCGATTTTAAGTNAAGAAACTCGCGGCAAATTATTTCAGCTTACACCGATTAACATTGTCCTTCTGTGAAATTTGAGTGGAAGATGTTTTTTGGAGATTGTCAGTGTAACCCACACTGACTTAATACTACTACTACTACTTCTACTAATGTCAATAAATCGTTAATTGTTTTATTGTTTTGTAAACGGAAACTCTTCCCGATTTTAAGTCGGTCAAATAGAATTTCCTATTACATTTAAAAGTTAAGGCTGCAGTTTCAACTTCTACCAGTAACGAGAAATGTGTCGTGGCGCCATTTACCGACACAATAAAGCGTAACTGAATTTTACACACAATAATGAAACATTTAATACAGCATATACACTGGCAGAAATTGAAAGTGTTACACCCACCGAGTATTGTCGAAGACATATGAAATTGGGACAGAAGAATCTCTTTTGAACGGTATTGAATGATCAAAAATGAAATGAAGTATATACAGTGATATGGAAATTATGGAGACATTTGTTATGAAAAATTGCTATAGTGTTTAGTTTATAAGTTGTGAACTGTGTTCGGGAACATGACTTTTTTTGGTTCACAGGTTGTTGGTGACTAGCTATGCCATATCAACGAGTGAGAACTCCGTACACCCAAATGTCTGACTTTGAAAGAGGTTGGATAATTGGCATGTCAGAAATGGGAGCATCATATCGTGAAATCGCCCGAAGGACTGGCCGTACTGCAATGTCAGTACAAAGAGTGGTCACAAGATGGATGTAGGAAGGGTCCAGTACTCGCAGACCTGGCACAGGTCCACGCAGAAGGACAACTCCACGTGAAGACCGCCATATTGTGCAGATGGCAGTTGCTGACAGATTGGCGACGGCAGCACAGATCTGAGTAGTAGTTACTGCCAGAGTCACCCCACAGACAACTTTGCAAAGATAGGCTTTGCAAAGTGTCGCACTCATGGATTGGCCTGCCCAGTCCCCAGATTTATCCCCTATACAGCATGTCTGGGATGCCGTGAATAGACGGATTACATCCCATAGCCATCTATTGCTCACTGTACAACAACTGACTGCACAAGTTGTGCAGGCATAGAGAGACATATCTCAACAAGACATTCAAGCACTTACAACAAGACATTCAAGCACTTAAGTGCTTGAATGTCTTGATGAGATTCAATGCCTGCAAGGATCCAAGAGTTTATCCATGCTCAAGGTGGGCATACCACTTACTGAAACATGTACCAAACAGCAATAAAACTTGCGTAATTCATTTCATTTTGTGTTAATTTCTTCTGGGTATGCCCCTGTACATGTTTACCAAGTTTCGCAAATTTCCATAAATTCCATCTGGGTGTAACACTTTCAATTTCCACCAGCGTATTAAATATTTCATTATGTGTAAAATTCAAGTACTGTATAAGTATTTCTCTCTTTTGTGTATAGAATAATGATATAAATATACATTTATTTATTTCAATATATATAATAATATTCTTAGTTTGGTAAAGTTGAAACTTTTAAAAATTTTATTAAAACAATAATTCTCTCGGAAGTATAATTAATAAATTTGTATAAGGCAGAACTATTTTTGATTATTAACAAGACAATTCTATTCATTACCTCTGTTGGAGTTTCGCTATATTCAATAACACGTTCTACAGCAACGATATTAGTTTCCAATTCCGAACTCATCCGAACCAACCAACTAAGAGTCGACGTCACCTGGAATCATTTTATGTAATTAGTATCAAAAATGACCTGCTATGTCAATGCATTCGCGCACACACTTCGGTTATATTACTTACGGGAAGAGCGTAGCTGACAATGAGACCTACAGAACCTGCAGTTAACGTATCTTTAGCCAATACGGCGAACAGACCCGCAAATAGCACAACACAGTTTCCACAAAATTCCAGATTGATAGCCAACCATCTGTAATAGCAAACCAAGTGATATTCTCAATTTAGAATTTTAACATTTTGAAAGTATTTACAAAATATTTTATCAATTAATCATTTTATAATTGTTGTGCTAAAGATCCTGAAATTATCTCTGAAATAATTTAAATTTATTATTAACAAAAAGGTAATAAAGGAATGATGGAAATGTTTTCATTTGGAAATATTGCGTAAATCAATGCAAATATTTAATATATTAGGCCTACACTTAAGAAGTCATTTTGTTCTACATTTTTATATCAAAACATTTCCTTCTAAGGTTATATTACACTACTTTCTTCTTTAAACATTGCACTAATAATGCAGATTATACTTGTAATTTTGTGTAAGGTTTCCAAAATTTAAATGTAGATATGCTAAATTTTTATTTTTATTTCTGAAATGTCAAAATCCAGAAACTATCCTGCAAAACGCTTATTTTAATTCATATTAAAGGCAAGAATGTTTCTGTAGCATTCTCTTACATGATATTGTTAAAAAGTTAGCTTATTGGCAATTTGTAAACTACACATTATATCTTTAAAAACTTGCATTATATTAAATACTTGATCTAATATATTCAAACAAATTTTACAAAACAGATAAAGTAAAAATAAGATTGTAGCTATATAATTTTTTCTTCTAATTTCATCGTTTCGCAAAAGGACATAACTATTTTCGCTCTATGTATTTTTTCCAAGTCACGTTAAAAACATCTCAACTGTGTTCGTACAATTAAATAACCAAATAATTATTAAAATTTTCCAAACAAATATTATGGCATATCATATCATTCTATTGTTACTAATTGTTTATCTAACATTAGAAGATAAATAGGTAACCTATTCCCAAATATTTATGTATTAAATAAGTTACCTACTTATACCTATATCTAGACATTTCTCAAAGGCGATACAGATCTTGAAAATAAGCTTTGATTTCCATCCTTCAATTTTGAAATTCTTGATTTAATAAAATTGTCATCGGTTATCTACTAGAAAGTGGTAATTGTTAATTTTTATTTTATAACATTTCTCTGCCCAAATCTAAATACAGCAAGAATCATGTTTAAATACATGTTTTTTCATAACAAATATTAACAATACTCTCGTTATGGACGAGAGCTGACTTACAGACTTTGTTCAAATCATATTGAAAAATCCTAATATTTTATAATACGATCGAGATAAACTTTCCGCTGCATTTCCAGATCTTAATCTTATAAATGTTTACAGAATAGTAATTATTCACATCGACAAATAAGACCTCTACACCATTACCTGTTAGCTATAGTACTTGGATAGTAGCAACATTGATTAATATCGACATTTTTGTAGCACTTGCTTATAAAATAGTCTTCCGCTCTAAAAGCTCTTATAGTGCTGACTCCCGTTAACGTTTCGGAAAAGTGAGAATAAATAGGCGAACGAGTGATCGATTCTAGTCGCTTCAATTGTCTCGAGGTCGGTATGTAGAACCTCTAGTGTTAAAAATATAATTACAGTTATTATCATATTAAACCCAATTAAAAACAGTTAAGTGTATACTGACAATTACCTGAACCAAGTAATAAAATATCGATAATGGCACGATCACGGCAAGAAATACGGGAATTTCGTAAGAAATAATAAATATTGTACCTAAAACCTTTGTGAAACACTGTATCCAAGATCTTAGCGTCATCGGTATGGTTGTATCGATCGTATCGATATCTTTTGCAAATCTGTTAATAATTCTTCCCAAAGGCGTTGTGTCAAAAAATGCCATGGGAGAACGAAGAATGTTGAAAAGAATATTCTGATGTAAACGAAACGACGATTTTATGCTGCCGTAAGCTAGACCGAAGTAACCTATCAACGACATTATACCTATTGAAAAAACAATCATTATTATCATCATCAAATATTTATTGTAATAATTCGTTTAAAAGAAAACGAAATACATACTTTGTCCAAAACCGAGAACCGCATAAATTCCGAGTCTGAAATTTCTCTGTGCCAAATCCTGAGATCCGTCGTCGTTAGGTTTGTCATTGCTCCAAACACTTAACCACATATTAGATCCCACAGAAAACATTTGAGAACTGAGTGTGCCAACAACGGAAATAACTATTATAACGATTCCCATAGGTTTAAAATATCTTTCGTATACCGAAAATTTTACCTGTTCAATGCAAATTAATAATTTTTAAAATATTTAAATACCTATAAAGACTAAGGCTATAGAAGACTAAGCTTATTTTTGATCCTAAATAATAACTATACCTAAAATATTGGCATAGAGTTTCGTTATGCCTTGTATAAAATTGGATAATTTTTACAGAATTTGTGCCCACTTTATCATCTGTAGCTCCAATATTCTCCATTTTACACTTGTACAAGATGTGACTATTGAGAACCTGCATCAAATGCACAATATATGATACTATCTGGCAAGTTTATTGATTTTCGGTCAATGGATCAGATTGGACTGGATGAACGGTATAAGGCAATGCATCACGTGAGCGACCTGCGTAGGGAGAACGCCACTCAAAAGTACTTTATGGAAATCTGATCTCTACGTAGCTGTTAGTAACGCAAAGAAAACCCTGAAAACTCCATGTGGCCAGCCCATTGGCCAGGTGCCAACCCACGACCTACTACCAGTGTTCTATGGTTTAATTCACTCGGCCACTGGTAGTTTAAGTAAATACAATTATTTAAGGAAAAAGTCATTAAAAATAAAAAAATTCTCGGTCTTTTGCATTACCTGTAAAAATAACATTTACTGGCAACAAGTCGTGTAACTATTCAAGCTGTTATATGAATCACAATATTTTTTAAATAAAATCTTAAGTTAAATAAACTTGTGTGATACCCTCTACTATAAGATTTTGTTATAAAACATTTTTTATGTTTTAATTATTATAGTGTAGCAAAAAGCGTAATTTTGAGTGTAGGAATAAGGTATATAAAAAATTGGGAATGTTAATAACAAGTAAAATCTTCATATATTAAGTCTGATCCTTCTCGAAATATGGCATGCGATTCCCTCTATCTCCCCATCCCATCGACCTTTAACCATCTAAACTTAATAACGTCAATGCCCCTTACATACGGGTTATCGTGCCAAATTTTGTTCCTTAACCTTTATCCAATCCTGAAATATATTAAACGAAATAGGCGGCAACACACACAAAGAGAGAGAATTTTTTTGCTGTATTTTTGACTTTCGAGTTAAGGAAGTCTCAAAACGTTGATATTTGCCCAAAACTGAAAGGGTGAAATTTGAAACCATTTCAATATTTTTTCTTGTTATGTATATACAACAGCCAGGAAATTAAAATCAAACACGTTATCGGAAAAACAATTTTTTCCCTGAAAATAATATTATTCTAGGCCAGTGTTTCCCAACCTTTTTGGATTAGACACACGCTTTGAATTTAAAGAAATTCTTGCGACATACCATACTTTCTAAAGTAAAAATGTTTAAAATTTAAAATAAATTACGTTCGATAAAAAAAAATTGATAACACAGAAGTTAAACTTACGGAGACAAAACTTCACAATTTTACAAATTAAAAAACTATATCAATACGTAAAAGTTGTATCAGTGTTTACACTGGTAAGCCGCGACGTCGATAAAAGCTCCAAAGAGTTGGTACGCCGCCATACACATAAACGTTTGCAACTTTTGTTAGGGGTTAGCTGATGTCGCAAATTTTGCAACAATTGACATTTTAGTGAATGACTCCTATCTACCACCGGCATCCCTTCGATGGGCAGACGATAGAAAGAGGAAAAATAAATCATATTTAAACACGAGCTTATTCAAAATTCTAAAAATATTTAATACGTATTTCTGCGACACACTTGAGGTGACACACAAGTGTATCGTGGTGCACACGGATTGGGAAACACCGTTCTATGCTCTTGCATATAGCTTAAGAAATCAGGACAATAGTTCTTATTAATTAGTAGAAATCTGTTACAAAGATTAAAAGCAAAAATGTATTTAAATATTACCTTTCCTGTTTCTGCAAATTCTACTGTTATGAGTTTTCTTTCCTCTTTAATTTTGTCTTTTATGCTTTGCACTACTTCAGCATCATTAATACTTTGAGAAAAATGTTTTTTATCTTTAATATCCAACTGATTTTCCGAATGTGAGAGTGCTCTCATTAATTCTCTATAAAATAAAAAGCGCCACAGATTTAAATATATTATTAATACTTTTAAAATAAATTTAAAAGCAATTAAAATCTTAACACAGTTTCATAACAAAATTCTCAAACGTTATAAGATACAGTAGACGTTCGTTAATCAGTCATTCGATTATCTGACACTGAAAAGTAGCCGACAATCCGAAAATTTATGATTCGTATGTACTGTACTGTACATAACGCGTGTCTAGAAAATTAGTAGTATATTAAATGCAGTATAAACCGATATAATAAAAGATTGATGGAATAACTACCTGCGGAATAAATTTGACCTTGTCAATAATGTAAAGACGTTATAAGACCCGACCTTCAAATTACTACGACAATAAACTGTTTAAATAAAGGTCATCCACATGGGAATTGGAGTTAGTCGGCCATCTTACTTTCTCGCTAATCTATTGAAAAACGCATTTAACCGCCCGAAATCGGCCTGTAAAATTCTCGGCTGTTTAACCCACAGATTTACACTAGTTCAATGCTTTTGAGAAATTCTGTAAATTACAGTGCATTTAACCTTCAGATTAAAACTCGCGCAACCGATCCTTACAGAAAATAAAAATTTAATAAGCAATAAAATTAAAAAGTTAGCAAACGATTCCACTCGATCAATTAAGCTTTTTGAATAGAAAAAAACGATTTTCGATTATATGACACCACTCCAGAATAACAGATGCTAGACTAACAAACCTCTACTGTAGTTAAATAAACTTTAAGAATTAATATATATTTACATTTTCATCGTACACGGATCATCTTGTTGATACATTATATCAGATATTAATGGGTCGTTATCCGCTACTTTCTCTTTCATATATTCGAGAATAAATTCCGAAAATTCTCCTTCTGATTTTAATAAATCATAGTAAGAGCCAATTTCAGCAATTTCTCCGTTTTTAAGCACTATTATAATATCAGTTTGTGGCAAAAACGTTATTCCGTGGCTAACCAAAATTCGAGTCTAAAATTTTAGAAATTTTTAAAATGAGTTTAATTGATTAAAAATGAATTTAAAAGTGTATGGCACCTTTTTTCGAAGAAGGCCGTTTGGTCCAATAACTCTGTCAAAAATATGTTTTCCTACGTGAGAATCGACTGCGCTTAATGGATCATCTAATAGATATACATCGGCATTATTATATATGGCTCGAGCTAAACTGACTCGTTGTTTCTGGCCACCACTTAGGTTAATTCCCTGCAAGAAACATTTTTATCAAAATTTTAAAACTATCATTACGTAACAGTAAAAATTACCTTTTCTCCAATTTCAGTCATATCTCCTCCCGGTAAAATATCAAAATCGGGTAATAAGGCGCACGCTTCAATTATGTTATCGTATTTCTTTTTAGAGAAATGGCTTGTAAATATAATATTTTGTCGAACAGTTGCATTTTGGATCCACGCTTGTTGTGCAACGTAGGCAAGTTTTCCCTTAAAAATACGATGAAAACTTTAAGCTACATTTACATTAGTATTATGAAAATCAGATAATTGTTTACATCTTTTTAGTTTCGTATAGATATAAAACTATTAAATGCGCAGTTGTTTCATAAATTTCTAATTTAGAAAACAAAAATCGTATTTTTATTGCTTTCAAAAAACATAAGTGGAAGACGTAGCATTTAACATGCAAAACACTGTCCTTCATCCATCCATCCAATCCATCCATGAAAGATTTTAACAACCGGCTTGCTTCATTTTAAAAATTGTAACAATCGAACCATTCCTACACGTCATTGAACTTTTAGTATGTCATTGATATATGAAATTATTTCTTAATCTAACTAAAATAAACGTAAAATACAGCTTTTAACGGAATTCCAAAAATTTATCACGTAAAACGTAAGTGACCAGAGGTCAGAGAGTGAAGACAAGCTAACGAGTAAAACCTTAATTACTACTTAATAACTTGCCCAATGATCTGACAAGTCTGGAGTAGGATAACCAAACGTCCCCCGATTTTCGGGAACTATCTCCGGTTTTGCAGTATTTTTAATATTTGATTGTAGAATCAATCTTTGAACAGAGCAATTTTATTAACATGTCAATATCACATTACCAATTTATAGATCATTAATAAATATATAAATTTCAAAAAATAACTAAAGTTCAATCAGTTTTAGGCCCTATTTTCATTCATTCTGAAATGTGTCCCCGGTTGGATTTTGCATATTATGGTCAGTCTGTCTACAGGGATGATTACGCGCTACGTGGTGTCGTCTTCTAGACCAGGGTGCCTAGTTAAGTGAGTAGCAACACGAATGCGTTGGGAGTTTCACGTAGTTCCAACCTGTTCAATGAGACCATTCATTGAATGCGTTGTTACACGTTCGTAATGCTATTCACGTTAATAATAATAATAGTAATAATAATGCTAACGACTATTAGAGTAAAATAATAAAATAATTATGTTACATGTAAAAAAATAAAATAAAATTACAAAGGATCAAACCTCTACCCTGTACTTCCAATTCCTAGCGTCTTAGCAACTGGCCTATCGCCATTCTGAGGAGGAGCTTAGAAGTTTCAAACTTATAAACATAACACTCAATTTTCAGAGGACCGTTTTTGGAAACTCTTGAGAAGTAAGTCCTGTTATTTGGAAAAGGATGCTCAGCAAGTTTCGATCGAATCTGAGACCCACACGGCTGACTGTCTCCTTGTTAGAACCTAAGATTGTAAACTGTTCTTTACATGGAAAGGAAGTACTGTAATTCGAATTATGAGATTATAAAACCCCTTGGCAAATTATATGGGGGATATGAAGACAGGTTAGTCAGATCGATTGGGAGGACGGAATAAGCCATTCAGTTGCTACTAGGCAAAGTGTCATGACCTCTGCCAGTTACTGTGAATCGAATAATCGAATACTCTGTAATANAACTAAAATAAACGTAAAATACAGCTTTTAACGGAATTCCAAAAATTTATCACGTAAAACGTAAGTGACCAGAGGTCAGAGAGTAAAGACAAGCTAACGAGTAAAACCTTAATAATTACTACTTAATAACTTGCCCAATGATCTGACAAGTCTGGAGTAGGATAACCAAACGTCCCCCGATTTTCGGGAACTATCTCCGGTTTTGCAGTATTTTTAATATTTGATTGTAGAATCAATCTTTGAACAGAGCAATTTTATTAACATGTCAATATAACATTACCAATTTATAGATCATTAATAAATATATAAATTTCAAAAATAACTAAAGTTCAATCAGTTTTAGGAACTATTTTCATTTACTGTATTCTGAAATGTGTCCCCGGTTGGATTTTACATATTATGGTCAGTCTGTCTACAGGAATGATTACGCGCTGCGTGGTGTCGTCTTCTAGACCAGGGTGCCTAGTTAAGTGAGTAGCAACACGAATGCGTTGGGAGTTTCACGTAGTTCCAACCTGTTCAATGAGACCATTTATTGAATGCGTTGGTACACGTTCGTACTGCTACTCACGTTAATAATAATAATAGTAATAATAATGCTAACGATAGAGTAAAATAATAAAATAATTATGTTCCATGTAAAATAAAATAAAATAAAATTACAAAGGATCAAACCCCTATCCTGTATCTCCAATTCCTAGCGTCTTAGCAACTGGCCTATCGCCATTCCGAGGAGGAGCTTGGAAGTTCCAAACTTATAAACATAACACTCAATTTTCAGAGGACCGTTTTTGGAAACTCTTGAGAAGTAGGTCCTGTTATTTGGAAAAGGATGCTTAGCAAGTTTCGATCGAATCTGAGACCCACACGTTTGATGGTCTCCTTGTTAGAACCTAAGATTGTAAACTGCTCTTTCTATGGAAAGGAAGTACTGTAATTCGAATTATGAGATTATGAAACCCCTTGGCAAATTATATGGAGGATATGAAGACAGGTCAGTCAGAAGATCGGTTGGGAGGACGGAATAAGCCATTCAGTTGCTACTAGGCAAAGTGTCATGACCTCTGCCAGTTACTGTGAATCGAATAATCGAATACTCTGTAATANTGAGATTATGAAACCCCTTGGCAAATTATATGGAGGATATGAAGACAGGTCAGTCAGAAGATCGGTTGGGAGGACGGAATAAGCCATTCAGTTGCTACTAGGCAAAGTGTCATGACCTCTGCCAGTTACTGTGAATCGAATAATCGAATACTCTGTAATACATCCAGATTTAAATTAAACTTGTTTTTTTCGAACTGGTGTGTACAAAGATATTTTTGTAGCACTGTTTTTTCACTTACCCACTTATAAAATGCAATTTGCAGATAACTTGACTAGATTTTCATTCCCACACCATTTCACTGACTGAGAACTTTACGGTCTGTAACGAACAATCTCTTATACGTTTTGTGTTTTTTTTTTCTACTCCTAAGAGAAGTTGATGTTTGTTCTGTATAGGTCAAGTATGGAGTCGTACGAAAACACAACAGAATCCCACATGTCTGTGCTCAATACTGCGTGCCGTTTAGCCCAGAGAAGCCATTTTCTATACCGTTTACTTATCAGTAATGGCTTCTTACGCCTATAAATCTATGTTAACAAATGACTGCACAGTTTGTGCACTTGTCTTCATGGCTGTCTAATAATTAAAAATTATTGTATTCAATTAAAACGCCTTAATGTAAAATGATACTACACAAAGAATTTATAAACAAGTCCATAGTTGAAGTATTAAACACAAACACTGACAGTTTTAAAGTTCTTCACACTGCTTTAAAACTGTTAGCATTTGTATTTATAAATTCTAATATTTTTATCTTACTTTAATATTCACTTTTCCAGTGATCAAATGCATGTCCCCAAGAAGAGCCGAGACGAGAGAAGATTTTCCAGCACCGACTCGACCAACTACGGCTATCAATTTACCAGGCGGTATTGAAATATCAATGTGTTTCAGTACTGGATCCTCCTTTTCCGACCAGCAGAATGTACCATTTTTTATGACTATGGAATCAGCTGAAAATAAACAATGTAATCAGCAGTTTTCATAAATAATTTAAAATCAAACAATACTTACAGTATGAAGAATCAGAAGTAACATATTGATTCAATTCTTCCTGGCTTAAAAACTTATTTATTCTTTTTATAGAAACATTAACCTAAATTGAAAATAATTTTTAATAATTATCAGGTATTATTTAAAATAAACTCAAATTCCCCAGATTTGTTTGATTCATTTTTTTTTTCAATTTATCAAAATTATTTAAATATTTAATAATCTTTCATATTAATTGAAATATAATCGTTGGAGTTTTTATACCAGTTTAAAAATGTAAAAAGTTATCTATGAAAAATAATTTCGTTTCCTTTTCTGAAATTAATCAGAAAATATCATAATTACGTTATTTATTAACCGTAATTCTTTTACCTAATTATTTAAACCTTACAATTCGTAAGAAAAGTTAAAATAATAAAAACATTCACTCCCAGTGAAATTCGTAATAATATACTTGGCAATAAAAGTAAAGCTCATGAGAATTAGAGCAAGACGTTTAGCAACGCAGTCAGAGTGTTGATGCTGAACTTGTTGCACTGCAAGTTCATGCTTTCACCAGTTCTACTTTCACTTGCTCTCTTGCAATAATGGTATATGCAAGGCACTACTAGACTATCTGTCACGCTGGAAAATGAGCCTTCCCGGTCCAAACGTGATGACACATGATGTGTCAGTCCAAATCACACCTTACCCAAGCTAATCCAACTCTTATATGACTAATTATTTCTTATAATTTTATTTTAAAATAAGTTCCTAAATAATTGAAATAATTAAACATCATCTCCTCTCAGTTAATGCCCAGTCTGTTCCCTAGTTGCACTCCTGATAAGGGTTACCAATGAGCTAAGAAAATGAGCTAATAAAGCAAGCTAAAAGGGCTAACAAGTAAAAGCTACCTTACTGTAACTTAAATAAAGCGCATTCTGAATGCATTTTAACCTGTTTTTCGCACCTTGTACAGAAAGCGGTTAATGGTAAAGATAGAAACCATGTTTTGACATCAATGCAGTCTACGCTGTAGGATATCAACTATGCGGTTATTAATAAGGTAAAGTTAAGAAGTCTGCAGGCGAAAATGCAATATCAAATAGTGCTTTTCTGACCATTCCGATGCACTTTTGCTCTTTAATTCTCGAAATTATCATAATTACATGGGCATCAATTCACAAATGATTAGCTTCCTTTCTAGCAACAGTTAGGATTTTTTTTTTTGTGGTTACCATGACATTTCAAGTTAATGAGCTAATTGTGATTTACTGCTATCGAGGACGATAGTGAAATGTAAAATTTTAGAAAGGAGTAATTTTCAAATTCAAATATAAAAATTGTTTCCAGTTGAAATATGTCAGCCAATCAAAAGTATAATTTCAATTCCCGAATTTTAAATGACTGAATTTAAGGAAATCGAATAGAAATCGTATAACCTAAATGTTAATACTGGAATGAAAAGTAACAAACTTCATTTGTAATCTATGTTCTGAAATTTAAAATTTGTAAGCTCATTAACATTGGTCCGTTAAATTACCTTCATAAATTCCCGATATCAATAATAACAAGCGTCAAGACACCCTTCTTTGGAAAAATGATCCTGCTGGTTGATACCACTGACTGGACTGTAGTGTAGTTTTTAAATACAAAAGGAAGTAATTCTTGTTTAAAACCAAGGAATGTTAAAAAAAAACAGTCATTGGAAATTATTAAAAACACTCAAAAGTGTAAAGGACGAACATTTCCGGAAAGCAAGCCACAGAACGAACATAAAAAAGAAAGGAAAAAGTTTCGCAGAATAGAATATAAAACTGGCATTTTAGAATGCACATTGAATTCAGAATTTTAAATTTTAAAATATAAAATGAAACAAAGAAATTTTATTGCTCAAAACAAAAGCAATAAAATTTTTAATCTAGATTCTTCGTATTGATTGGATTTATTATAGATCATACTTTATCTATACTAATATTATAAAGAGGTAATGTTTGTATGTAAGTTTGGATGTAGCAGATAATCTCCGAAACTACTCATCCGATTTCAAAAATTCTTTCACCAATATTTAGAATGGAACTTCAGGGTGGACATAGGCTATACATTATTCCGGTAAACATTCATATAAATTAAATTATATCATCTAGGGTTAAGGCTTTTATGTCCAACAGATGGCGCTACGAGTACGACTCCCTAAGTTTGCTTTTCTGTGAGGCATTATGCTTTTCTGTAAAAATGAACTAAAGCGGATCATCGTCTATCTATTTATATAAATAAAAATGTAATGTTCGTTTGTTCCTACCGATTCCTTTGAAATTTTGACACAACTCTGCATTCGAATACGC